GCACACCCGGAGGTGTCTGTGTCCCTCTGGGTGTGCAAGGTGTGCCCCGTGGGTGTGGGTGATGGGTGCACAGCCGCCTCCGTGGGTATGTGGGGGCTGTCTGGGGGTGTGTGCTGTGGGGTCCTGTCCTGTCCTGGGGCTGCGTCCCCCATTGCGTGTGTCCCCACCTCTGCACGTCCTTGTCTGTGTGCCCATGTGCAGGGGGGCATCTGCACGGGGGTGCCTGTGTCCCCGTGGGTCTGCGGGCCCCCGTGCTGTGCCACGCGTGTTCCCTGCTGCCCGTGTGTGTGCGCAGGCACGTGTGCTGGTATGTGTGTGCTGCCTGTGCCGCTGTGGTGCCATGCGTCCCGTGGGTGTTACAGTGCCCGGGTGTCACTGCGAGGACCGTCCAGCACCGGCGTGGGCTCCCAGAGAGGCTCTGCTGTCTGGGAGGGGTTTCCTGACCCAGTGGGACCCAGCTGTGAGCAAACTGGTCTGAGCCCAGAGCTGACCCCACTTGGAGCAGGGGGTCGGGCTGGCAGCCCCCTGAGGTCCCCTTGGATGTTAATGACCCTGTGGTCCGATGCACATCTCGGGTACCAGAGTGCTCTGTGCCGTGCGGGGGGACGCCAGAGTCCTTGGTGCTGTTCCCCAGGGCATAAAGCCCCTTGCAGTGTCCTTGGGATGTTACTGGGACCAGCGCTCTGCTGTCCCTGGGCAGACCTTTCTGGTCCCCGAATCCCTCACCCGGGCAGAAAGCCGCTTTTTGGCAGACTCCAGCCCATTTTGCTCCACAGCAGCTGAGAAGACTGGCTCTTGAGGCACAGTCCCAGCAAAAAGGGGTAACTGGGTGGAAGTGGGGAAATGGTCAGAAACACACCGTAACCCTGAGGCTGCTCAGGGCGCTGTGGTTTAGCAGGCAGCTGCTGCCTGCGAGGGTGTTCATCAGATTAACATTAGGGGAAATTTCTCTTGTGATTACTATAATATAATCTAAAATTGCAATTTCTTTGGTAAGAGATAATAATAATAATCATCAGAGCTAGCAGAGACCTGAAGTAGCTCCTATTACATTAGCAAGTGTTTGGGAAAACCTCATGGCAGCTGCTTTGCTAACTCCAGCAAGGCCGAGCTTGCTAAATTGGCCACAGAAGCGCTGAAGATGCCTCTGTGTGCGTCCATTCATTTTTGGATGCATGCACGCACACCAGATTATTTGTAGAAAAGCTCTACTTAAAAAAAACAAATTTAGAAGCATCCTGCCTGGGCAGGATGAGCACAGACGCTGCCCGGGAGCGGGGGTTTGCTCTCCAGCACCAGAGAGCCACGGCCACCGTCTCCCTGCGCGGAGCGGCTGTGCTTGTGCCCAGGGGAGGGGGGAATTCACACACCTGCCCCAGGGCCTGGGGGGCAAGGGATGGGTCAGGGACGGCCACGATGGAGGAGGGAGCAGTGGGGGAATTGGGAAGGTCCCGGGGTATCTGAGGTGCTGGGAGCAGATGCCTGGATGGGACAGGACAGCCGTGCGTGCAGGGCCACCCGTGCCCGCCTGGAGGTACTTCCACCAGTGGAGCTGGCGCTCCTGCCCCCCGGCACTGCTTGTGGCTTCTCGCCAGATGTACTTCTGTAATGTGGGATTGTGTAAATGATTGACAATTTACAACGAATTTGTGCAAGGCCAAAAAGCGGTGTCTGCTCTGCTCTGCCCTGCCTTTCCCTTGGGATGTGCCGTCGGGTCATCCAGAAGCCGCGCCGCAGCCTCGGTACGGGTGGCGATGACAGAAATGACCCCCTGCGGAGGAGGGAACCAGCCCCTGGGCTGGGTGGCCATGCGCAGGGGCCACATCTCCCATCTGCGGGCTCCCCCTGCAC